CCCCCCCCCCCAATCCGGAGTTGCTGATATTTTAGTCAACATTCTCATCAAAGAGAAACAGATGCGCTATGATAGTAATATGATCATATTTGAACGCCAAAATTGATAGCTAGATACATAATATTTTGTGTACACATAACAGTGAACATGGATGTGCAGATATCTCTCAAAAACTTACCAAAAAATTGTCAGCTTCTTTCTCCTTTAGCAGATGTTTGTCTGCATCATTATGTATATATATAAACTGATGTAGAGGTATAATCCAGTGAAAAACATGACGTTCAATACCTAACCACCAGGGTTGTTAAAAGATAAAAGACAAGCATTTCACAAGCTTACCTTATCTATCAGGTAGCTCGGTCCGTTTAGAGACAAAATCAAATGCATCGACTTATAATACTGTACATGAGGCTCTTATCTTAACTATTGACAGTGCGTAATGTCATGATGGTCAGTGAAACAATGTTATATTCAGATCCTTGAAACAATGTTATCTGCAGATCCTAGAAACAATGTTCTAGGCTGCTTCTCTCTCTCTTTCTATCTCTTTTTTTCTTTTTTGAAGATTTTTTCATGAGGATCTCCTGGAGACAAGACATGCAGCAAGAATCAACGGATTTACGTATAATAGATGAAACTAGTAAAAGTAGTTCATTGCCTTGTTTCGTGTCAACAATTAACAAATGTAACAAAATCATGTTGATAGCAAAAAGGTGCATTTATATAAAAGTGTTAAGGTTTCAAGTACAACCTTTCAAACTTCAACCATTGAGAAACGAGACCGATCAGCCCCCGACGTGAAGAAGAGTCTAATCCTCCACAGGCAGAAGGATGTCGGGCTCAAGCATGTCCTCGATTGCATTGATGCAATAACCCATATAAACTGAAATCAATGCATCTTCACAAGAAATGTAAATAAAACTTTCATGTTGTATATACAAAGAGAATGGAGAATCTTATTTACACAATTAGAACTGTGGCGAACACTGGAACAAATGCATCGATTATGTTCCCAAGTGAAATATCGCAGAGTTCCAAGTGGTACAATGATGATGATAAAGCTATCGCAGGATAGACTCTGCAAAAGGTCATATGAAAAAGGTGAAGAAAGGATTCGATCCAAAAACTATCCAAAGCAACTCGAAAACTTTGTAACAATACCGTTTTTCTTTAACCGACTTGTGCATATAACAAAATAAACATCTGTAATAGTATGAACACATGGACAACGAGAAGAACACAACACTTTCATGAGCTAATATAAATTCAACTTCAATAAAGCTGTTTGTACACTACAAAATTAGACCACTAGCTGTTGTAAAATAATAAAAGAAGAACATTCTCATACTGCTTTTTACAATTAGAGGGACAATCACATGAATCATCATTGAATTCTACAGATAAGAATTTTAAAACTTGAAGAGAAGTGCATTTTACTTGTCATCTACTTGAAATACTTGTGGAAACTAAGTTTTTTATTTCCATCAAATGCTCGTCGTTTGATATATGGAGGGATAGACGTAGATCGGTAAGCAATAATTCTTTTTCCCAACTTAAAGGACCCGAAGCATATAATGCCTCCATAGTGCATCGATAGGCATGTAACTCTAACCTATGGATTTCAGCTTCCAATGGCTCATCTCTGGACAGAAGAAAATTGTCAGTTCTGTATCCCAAATGACAAAAAGATTCGGCATCACTCGTAGAACCATCTGTGTCTTCATTGTGGCCAATAGAAACTCGACAACGTAACCCATGGTGATCGCTGTTAGAGACACTGCAACTGCCAACAGAGCATGTAGCTCTATCAGCATCATTTAGTTCAAAGTTTTCTGCAAAAGAATGGTAAGCTACGCCCATTTGTTTCTTCCTATCACAATTCATTTCAGAAATGATGGTTCTATCCAAAGCACCTCCAATGTTTCCCCCCAGCATACCTCTTTGGATAACTAGTGATTTTACATGCTCGTGCAACGTGGATGGATTTCGAGCAACAACTTTATGATACCTTTGCTTCTTCTTCAACGTTCTACATTTCAAGCCAGCTCTACCCATTGTTTCAGCTTGAGAACACTCATAGTTTGATCCCCTTCTCCAAGTGTCTAAGTTGGGAACATTTTGGAATTTCTGAATTTGGGAGCTCAGACCATAAAATCTAGGACTTGCATTCGCATCTTCTTTGCTATCATCGCCACGATTGCCAGACCTCTGTGTGCACAAGTAACATTGGAAAAAATATGAGACGACATAGCATGAAGGAGACGGAAAAGTATTGCTTTTAATCGCTATTTTGGGCCCTCAGTAAAAAAAAGAAAAGAAAAAACATAAAGCATACATGCTTCAATTTTGAATAAATTTAAAATTCAACTAAACATCGTTCTCAAATCGTGAAAAGAGAAGTTACACCACACTAAATATTGAAGGACTTTTACTAAAACAAAACTTAAGAACTAGCTAACAGCTCAAGCCCACCGATAGCAGATATTATCCTATTTGGGCTTTCCCTTTCAGGCTTCCTCTCGAGGTTTTTAAAACGCGTCTACTAGAGAGAGGTTTCCACACCCTTATAAGGAATGTTTCATTCTCCTCTCCAACCGAAGTGGGATCTCAAAATCCACCCCCCTTAGGGGCCAGCATCCTCACTGGCACATTGCCCGGTGTATGGCTTCGAGACACATTTAAAACCTTGAGGGGAAGCCCAAATGGGAAAGCTGAAAGAGGACAATATCTACTAGCGGTGGGCTAGGGCGGTTACACAAACACAAACTGGCACGTCTGGAATTTTAAACTTCTTTAAAAATATTTGACAGTTCAACAACAAAAACAGCTATAATTGAAAAGTGATCAACAAAATGCTACCTACCTTGTGCATCAAAACCCATTTGTCATCTTGCCATGATCTTCTTGCCCGAATGTCGAATTTGCAGACCTTGAATTCACTAGAAGAACCAAGCAACCTAACCAAATAGTTGTTCTTCCCCAAAACCTCAGAAACCGTAGCCATTTTCCAAGAACGATCATTGAATACCTCCACAACATCGCCAGGGATCCAATTCTCTAAAACTTCCAGAGAAGGGGGACAAGGCCTGATAGCCTTACGCGATACCCTCTCGACAACAGTTTGATTACTCCCACCCTCGAATTTATCATATCTAACAGTATAATAGTGACCACTGCCAGACATAATCTCAGCCGAACGCCACGAGCCTGAAGGCACCTCCTTCTTGCTTAGCACTTCCACTTTGCTTCCTTTCCTGAATCTCATGTTTGCTGATGCGTGAACTGATTTCCTGAGCAAACTATCTGTTCATTTCAAGGAGAAACAGCAAAAAAGCTTGAGAATTACAACACAAAATTCTACCTCAATGAAACTAAAATAAGAAAATGTGCAATGAAATTACTCAAACTGATCCAAAGGACATATAAACAGATTTCCAGAAGTTCTTCTGTTCGTATATAATCGAATAGTGCTCGGAATTAGAGAGAACAACACAAACGAGAGTATTTCATATGTAATCAAACGATTAAACAAAAACAAGAACATAAAAAGCCAATCGAAATCTTGAAACATTTGAAATAATATAATTCACTTTAAGAGACGATTAGACAATCGTCTCTCGAATCTGGATGGCTGAACAAGAATACAACAATAAGATAGAAAGCATTTGGAATTTTGTTCATCAACTAAACAGACAATCAAGCAAAACTATATGAATCAGTAGAATCGGAACAGAACGACTTCGAATTCGCATTGAAGCGATAATAGATTGCTAAGAAAATGCTGAAACGGAAACGAAAATAAAACCTCAAAATCTTAAAACGAGACGATGAAAACGAAAGCCGACATTCAAATAGAGAATAGAACTAAAACTAACATAGTTTAAGTTTTTAATTTGAAAATGTCTCTACAGCAACAAAAACCAATGAATACCAAATAATTTCTCGACGTTTGTTCTGTTTTTCCAAGCAACCAAACAGCAGGTGAGAAAATCGAAATTGACCCAAGAAGAAGCAAAAAGTAGAGTTCGATGAACCAAGAAACAAAAACTGAATGATCAAAAAGAAAAAACATGAAGGATCATTGCAATTTTGATCTGGGTTGTAAACAAAGAACCGGATTGAACCCAGAAAATGATGAAAAATCGAAGAGATTTCACTGACCTTGGGATTTGAGAGAATTTTGATATCACAAAAATTCTTCACTGCCTCTGTAATTTGCCTCAGCCTTTCTTATTTTTTTCGTTTATATTTGATTTTTTAAGTGTGAGGATTGCAATTTTCCGTAGGATTCTACAAAAACCCATTAAATCCCTTTTTTCAAAAAAAAATTATCAACAAATCTTCCGAGATAAAAATAAATAAATTATTAATCTTTTTACGGTTTCCCAAGATCCCAAGAATAGCTTGTAACACTATTCATAATTTTTAAAAAAAAAATTATAAAATTTTTAAAACATAATTATTATTTTTATTTTTAATAATTTTTTAGAAAAAAAAAACAAGTAAGCAATTTCTAAATATAAATGAGGAAATAAAATTAAATAGAGTTAAGTTTGACCAAACTTTATGAGGAGACTAAAAAGGTCAAAGCAGCCTTAATTTGAAAATTGGCAACTAAGCAAATCAAAAAAATAGAATTTTAAATATTAATTACCAAAATAATTAATTTATTGGGATTCTTATTAAAACTAGCACTAAATTTACCCCTCCCCCCAATAAAAAAATTATTCTTAATTATAATTTAAATAAAATTAATAATTACTATTTTTTAGATTTTTTTTATTAAAAAAAAATTAATTAATTACTTGGGGGAAAAAGGGTGTCCCCTTAAAAATAGGCATAAGTGTGAACATGGCTCTAACCACTTTCATCCATAATTAAAAATAAAATTTATTTTTAAATAATTTTTTTGTGTATTTGCAAGAAATTATTTAATAAATATTTTAAAAGAAACAAATTGAAGAGTCAAATATTAATTTATTAAAAAATGAAATGTCAAATATTAAATAAAAACTTTGGAAGGTCGACCATTTCCTAACATAGTGGCCGATAAGAATTTATGACTGATTTCTATTATTATTTTCGAGCAAAGAATCAGTCTAGATAAATTAAATATATTTTTTTTATAAAAATTGACAAAGTATTAACGTGTCAATATATTTTAACGAACTATATAATAAAATAAAATCATTAAGCGATTTAATATTGGGTTATTTAGCAAATGTGTATATGGTCCATCCTTAGAACCAATATAATCTAATTCCACTTGGAATTAATTTAAATTAAAATTGTTACACAAAACCTAACTAACTAAGTAGTTGATAGAAAAAGAATAAAGCTAAGATTAAAAGTAGTTATAGCAAAATGAAGCTTGAAGCAATGATATATATATATATATATATATATATATATATATATATATATTTGGACTATAATATAATCATAATATTTATCGTACAAGAAAGCATCTTCATCTTAGAAGTTCATACATCACGTTTTTGCTAGCTCCTTTTAAACGTCCCTTCAATTACAAATTTGGTTTTTTATGGTTTCGAGAGCATTAGAATTTAATCTATATGATTTGATAAACTTTTGTTAATAGTCTCTCTAGTTTGATAAAATCTTCATAAATCCCCTTATTTATGACGGTTTTATTGAACAACACGAGCAAAATTTCTAAGTTTTGAAATTATAAGAGCTAAATTCTAACGAAAAAATGTTGAATTGCAAATTTGAAGAAATTAAAACTTAGTCCCTATAATTTTCAACGTCATAATCCCGTTAACAAATCATAGAGAGACCATTTTACATGTTTTTCTACCTAAAAACAACTTGTCTTCTTCCATTCCATCACATGATTCAAGCTTGTCAGATTAACTTTCCACCCACCAAACTAAAAAGAAGAACAAGCAATGGAAGTGTGAATGCTCTGCCAACATATACTTTAATCATGAAAGAATGAACAATCTCAAAGAGTTCACAATCACAAGTAACCTTATATGCAAATAACTGAGGTGTGGATGGCAGTTTAAGCAATGAAATGACCTTTCTTCAGCTGAAAGAGACACCTTTCGATCGTTCATTCGTATTTTCGCCGATTTCTGATGGAATTTACACCTGCAATTGCATTACATGGGATAGATCGAGTCAAACTGGTCGTCCCCTATCGACGTTTGCAGTATACTTAAAGCAACTTATTGCATTTTTTTTTAGACATTCAAGTTTTCCAGCAAAAACATCAAAGAAGGACTTAAAACAAGCTCTACATGTTCATATTTAAAGCAGGCAGGTCACTTAACATGTTCTTACAACTAAAACTGTCTAATGCTTAATATCTCAGTAAGGAGACAAATACAAGTTTTTACCCCATAACGTCTACTCAAATCTCTTACTGCATTGCCAAGTGTATATGATGGTTAAAAGCATAAACAGTTGAGGATTGTCGGGAAAGAGTCCCACATTGGCTAATTGAGGGGATGATAATGGGTTTATAAGTAATGAATATATCTCCATTGGTACGAGGCCTTAAACAAAACCATGAGAGCTTATGCTCAAAGTGGACATATAATACCATATGGAGGTTGTAATTCCTAATATGGTATCAGAGTCATGCCCTTACCCTTAACTTAGTAATGTCAATAGAATCCTCAAGTATCGAACGAAGAAATTACTAGCCTCGAAGGTGTAGTCAAAAGTGACTCAAGTATCGAATAAAGGGTATGCTTCATTCAAGAGCTCCAGAGAAAGGAATCGAGCCTCGATTAAGGGAAGGCTGTTCGAGGGCTACATAGGTCTCAGGGGAGGCTCTATGGTGTACTTTGTTCGAAGAGAGGATTGTTGAGGATTGTTGGGAGGGAGTCCCACATTGGCTAATTAAGGGGATGATCATAGGTTTATAAAGAATGAATACATCTCTATTGGTATAAGACCTTTTCGGAAAAGCAAAAGCAAAACTATGAGAGCATATGCTCAAAGTGGATAATATCACACCGAAGGTCATGATTTCTAACATAAACTACAAAGCATTCTCGTTTGACGATGAAATACAACTAGAGCCAGATCATCCATTAGATTACTATAATCAAGTGAAAAATCTCACCAAGAACTAATACAATGCAAAGGTAAATCACTTCACTTACTATATGAGAAACTTACAAGGCCAATCATACTTCATATCCTTTTCCTAGGCAGTTTAGGCAATGCTGCACCCTGCAATATCAAATGATCCAGCAAAACAAGAACATCACCACCAGAAAACATAAATCAACGGAATCAAACTCGAGAGGAAAACCGAGAATTTTCCTAAGAAGGAGCAAAATTTTGCTTGCTTTCTACTATATAATCCTTCAATTTTGAAACTGCCCAAATTAGAGAGAACTCTAGAATCTTAACCTTTTAAGATATATATATATATATAGCCAACAAACTCTGTCTCAAACAAACAAAAACCCAAAAATCAATTTTAGGGTTCCGCATTTTCGAGATTCTGGATAGGATTTGACATGAACATACAATCGACCGAGTAAATCATAAAGAATGGAATGCCATTAACCTAATCCTGCGAAAATTCTAACAAGCAGCAGCAGGCGAGATCAAAGGGGGTGAAAAGTATAACCTATTTCCTTCACAAGTCGGGCACACGCAGGGGTTCATGGCAATAGGATCGGACAATGGCGACCACTGAATGACTGCATTTCCGCGGCATAATTTGCAGATATAGAATCCTTTTCCTCTACAAGCCCTACAGGGTAAAGCGATTTTTCTCTGCCGAAAAATTGAAGATCCGAATAGAATAGTATCAAAGAAATGATTCAGAATTAACGAGCCTTCTTCCATTCCCAATGTATAAGTTTAATTTTAAAGAAAGATGTGTATTCGTAGAGAAAAATGAATTACCCGTTTGGCTTCGGCGGTGTGGCGGAGCGTTTGGATAGTGAGAAATGAAGCGAACCTAAGAGTGAAAAGTCCGCCGAAGATTACGGCGGCGCCGGTGAAGATTGTTCGCAATTGCCTTGGTACCATTTTCTGGTGAACTAGGGAGCTGAGGGAGTCTCCGAAACCAGATAAAATAGACGAGATACTCTCCATTTATATGTTGGCTTTTTTACAACCAAATTTTTTTTTAGAATTTATGAATATTATTGAATTTTTTGGAAATTAGAAAAATTTATGTATATTTTTTAAATATATTAATGGTTTTTTTTTTTAATATGATTGAGTTTTTTTTAGTTCAAGGGTATTTTTGGAAACTTTTCCGGTAATTACGAGAACTCTTTTTAGTTCCAGGATATTTTTGAAAAACTTTTCAGGTATTCATGAGAACTCTTTTTTAGTTCAAGGGTATTTTTGAAAACGTGTAAAGTTCAAACAAAATTCTTCTCAAATTATTTTGGGGAAGCACAGCCGTCAAAATTCTTCACAAATTATTAGTCTTTGGGGGCTTTGGGGAAGCACGATGCAACGATGTCTGACTTCAAAACGGTTAGGAAGAGGTGTTTCCACCAAAACGATTAGGAAGAGGTGTTTCCACATTTTTAAAAGAAACACCGCTAGCATATATTGTCTACTTTAGCCCGTTACATATCATTGTCAGCCTCACAATTTTAAAACTCTATTAAGAGGGAGTTTCCACCTCACAATTTTCTCTACTACGAGGGAGTTTCCACCTCACAATTTTCTCTACTACGAGGGAGTTTCCACACCTTAATAAGAAATGTTTCGTTCCCCCACCTTAATAAGAAAGGTTCTACTCTACAACGAATGTGGGATCTCACAATACCAAGGCTGAGAACTATGATAGACAACTTCCCCTGTCTCCTCCCATGTTCTCATCAATAGCCTATCCCATTGGTACGCTTAACTCGATTGGTGCCACGTATGACATGTATACTCACTCGTGCCACGTATGACATGTATACTCACTCGTGCCACGTATGACATGTATACTCACTCGTGCCACGTATGACATGTATACTCACTCGTGCCACGTATGACATGTATACTCACTCGTGCCACGTATGACATGTATACTCACTCGTGCCACGTATGACATGTATACTCACTCGTGCCACGTATGACATGTATACTCACTCGTGCCACGTATGACATGTATACTCACTCGTGCCACGTATGACATGTATACTCACTCGTGCCACGTATGACATGTATACTCACTCGTGCCACGTATGACATGTATACTCACTCGTGCCACGTATGACATGTATACTCACTCGTGCCACGTATGACATGTATACTCACTCGTGCCACGTATGACATGTATACTCACTCGTGCCACGTATGACATGTATACTCACTCGTGCCACGTATGACATGTATACTCACTCGTGCCACGTATGACATGTATACTCACTCGTGCCACGTATGACATGTATACTCACTCGTGCCACGTATGACATGTATACTCACTCGTGCCACGTATGACATGTATACTCACTCGTGCCACGTATGACATGTATACTCACTCGTGCCACGTATGACATGTATACTCACTCGTGCCACGTATGACATGTATACTCACTCGTGCCACTTCTCTCTCTTCTCTCTCTTGCATGAAACCTATTAGAGTCAAAAATTTGCCGGAATATATTGAATTACATTGCAATTTCAAACCAGTTTTCTATGGGATATGAACAAATATGAAGAACAAACAATATAAGATATACCTATCTCTCTCTCTTCTTTCCATACCCCCTAAAAAATTCTCAGCAAAACTGCTATTTTACACTCAATGACTCGGAAAAAACCAGCACCAACCCAACCCCCATATTGAAACTAATCAATTGAATCTCACCAAACCAATTTCAAAACAAAACAAGAACAAACAACTTCCAACTCAAAAACACTCAAACCTCCAATTTGCTGGCTGAGGTTGGAGATAGAGGCAAATCATCAAGCCAATCGGCATAGATCCGATTTATCTTCTTGGGTCCTTTCCATTTCAGCAAGCACGGCTTCGCCTGACCCTCTGGTAGGGGAGAGGTCGCGACACTCGCTGCCAAACTCGGAGATGCTTCCATGGCCACAACTACAGGATTAATGTTGAGGGCAGGATTAGATACTTCCCCCTCGCGTCCAAGAGAGAGTTGTAACTCTGATCCATAAAGAACAGTCAACATCCCGAAGTAGTATAATCACACAATGTCAAACGCTCCAAAGAGGAAATTAAGAGTTTGTTTGGAAGACTTTTCTGATCCATAAAGAACAGAGGAAATTAAGAGTTTGTTTGGAACAACTTTTCTGATCCATAAAGAACAGAGGAAATTAAGAGTTTGTTTGGAACAACTTTTCTGATCCATAAAGAACAGTCAACATCTCAACATCCCAAAGTTGTATAATCACAATGTCAAACGCTTCAAAGAGGATGCCAAGACAAAGATACTAAATAAATTAAGAGTTTGTTTGGAACGACTTTCGAATGCTCAAGAAGAAACAAATGTGTTTGAACATGGTTGTGTTAACTATGAAGAACATTCAAAGCATATCATGATTTTCAGTTCATCAAATGGCTAATCAGAATTCCAATCCACATGTTATGACAGTATTACACATTACAGAGAAAGAGAAAAGGAGAGGTATCAATACCAGATTGGCCATGAGCAAAATGGCACTTATCACCAAAGGGGCAATGACCAGTAACCTCCCACTTAGTGCATAACTTCGTCTTCCAGAATGCATTTCCATTACCTCGAAGAGAATCAGAAGCAGAAGCAGAACAAGAAACAGCTCTGCTAGGTTCAGAATAGCTAGAATCATTACCATTCATCAATGGAGTTACAGTAGTTCCAATGCTTATAGCTGAACTTTCCCTAAACCTACCAGAATCATCTCTAAATTTAGCAGGATCTTCATGAAGAAAATTGCACCTATCTCCATAAGGGCATTCCTCCCCATTATAAAACTTCCTACACAGCTTCATTTTCTGAATAATTTTCTGATCATCATTCCAGTTACTTACTGATTGATCATCCTCACGAATCCCCACAATTTCTTGCCAATTTGGTGGGGGTTGTCGCATGTCTTCAGCACCATGAGCAAAGTTGCAATTCGCTCCATTCCTACACAAACCAAGCTTGAATTTCGCACACATCCTTGTCTTGAAGAAGATATTGTTTATTCCTTTATTCACTGGACCATTTTGAACTCTAGATAGGTTTTCTTCAGAATTTCTAGCTCTTTTGAATGGAGGCAGCTGTGGTTCAAATTGCGATTGTGTATCAAATAGATCGTTCCTAGGATACTGAGACCAGCAACCAGTGGCATCGCTGGCTCCATAAGGATGCAGAGGCGGCGGTATAACAGAGCCTCGAATATCATTGAAACTCATCTTCTAAAATCAAATCCAGATCTCTTCGATCAATAAACACAACGAATCAACAACCTTAAATTTCAATGTGGAGAATAAATTACAAACTCTGCTTGAACAACGATCACAGAACAAAATTCCTTACAAAACCAACGCTTGTACCAATGTGATGAAACACCAGAAAAACAATTGACTAAAGGAGATATCCACAAAAATAATCGAAAAGAGTACCAAAAACAGCCTCGGAAAGAAGAACACAGATGATACTGACCAAAATCAAAGTCGAATTCGTCCAAGGAACAAAAGCGTCAGTTTCAAATAATCATCAAAACAGCGTTCGGAAACGCATATGCCGGCGGAATCGAGATAAATGGAAGACGGAATCAAATCAAAGCAATGGTGAAAGTGGAGGACTGGTGATTATATATTTATATATTTTGAAAGCGGCAAAATGGAAGACAAATGTAAGAACGACGAAAAAACGGGAAAAGGAAAACAAAACTGATCCAAGAATCAAAAACCCTAGCCGCCAAGGAGAAAGAAAACCCTAGAAAAATCAGATATTGCGAAGGCTAAAAATTCAAATCCATGGAATCTCAAATCGCCAAAATTGAACGTATTCAAAACCCTAATACCCGCTAAAAAGAACCTGATTTTACGGGGAGTTAAAACGAACAACTGATGACGTGGAAGCAGATTTTCTGTGGGTCCTACTTATTTCTGCTTCTTACACGTGTCGGTCCTTCATTGAATAAAAAAATATTCTTTTTACGATTTTTATTCCATTATTTACTTACTAAATTTTGTTGTCTATTTGCTTTTAGGTTATAACGTTATTTTCTTTAAAATTGTCCATGTATTTCTATGCTCACGTTTTCTAAAATATTGGAAACATTCTCCTGCCAAACGCGTTTTAAAAGCCTTGAGGGGAAGCCGGAAAGGAAAATCCCAAATAGGACAATATCTGCTAGCGGTGGATCTGGGTCGTTACAAATGGTATTAGAGCTAGACACCGGACGAGGTGCCAGCCTTCTCGCTCTTCCTCGAATGGGGGTAGACACGAGGCGATGTGGTAGCGAGGACGCTGTGCTCCGAAGGGGGTGGATTGTGATGTCCCACATTAGTTGGGGAGGAGTGGGGAGGAGAACAAAACACTCTCTATAACAATGTGGAAACCTCCTCAAAAGCCTTGAGGGGAAGGAAAGCCCAAAGAGGACAATATCTGTTAGCGGTGGATCGGGGTGAATTTTAATTTTTAAACTCCCATTTGTAAAAACCATAACAGTGATGGAGTCAATAGACAACGATAGTTTTGTCTCTTTCTTTCCCTCAGATTTGTAGCTTTTGAGTACGGAGTTGTTCGTCAGGGTTTGTATTAGTGATTGTGAGCAGTTAAGCTCGTAACCATAAGGATTATGTAGTGACATGTCAATGATTAGGGCTCCTTTAGAAGTCATTTAAACGATTATATAGTGACACATCGATGATGTCAGTTTAAAGTGGAGTTGACAACTAAAGCTTCAGCGAACGAGGTCGTAACTATAACGGTTTTAAGGCAGCAAAATTCTTTGTCGGGTAAGGTATTCTCTACCTACCCACCTGAGTCAGTTTCGAGAATAAACCATTTTACCTATACTCGTTAGATAAACTCGATTTTTCGATCAACAACACAATCATCAAAGTTTAAGTTATTTGGATGAAAATGGGCCATTACGTTTTTGTTCTTCGGAGAAAGTGAGTCTATCTCGTTTGGAGTATGTGCATTATTTAGAAGTAGATTCTTGAATCTAATTCAAAGTTCTTGGTTCGTGGCCCATGAATACGACCTTCAAACTCAATAGTTGAACGATGTAGAGATAATTCTAATTAATTAGCTCTAAATTGAGATTAAGAAACAGAATTTTTTTAGCTTTTTCATGAAAGAAAGTGGAAAAAAAGAAGCAAATTGGAGGGAATCAGATGCTAGAAGCTTGTATGTTGGCCAAATAATAGCTCCACTAAGAGTTCTTCAAAAATTCAAACCGCTCCACCTGCCCAAATGAGAAAAAAAAACGTCGTTAAGACATATAATCTCGATCAAAAGGTTAATGGGTTGGAATCTCCACGTGGGTAAGCTTAAAAGTTTGATCTTTTCTTACCGAAATTCCTCGGAGTTTTGCATTTATAGCATTCCATCCTACTAGCATAATTGTGTGTTTCGCATCCTATTCTGCATAAGTTCAACGTATGTCCAATCAATATTATGAAAAAACTAAAAATGGGTATCAGACAAAACCAGCTCTTACCTATTACAGATCCAATCTCCAGATTTCCAACCGGGCAAAGCACAAATATCAGCACTCTTATATGCATTACATCTGTAACAACTTGATCGACTGGCATAGTTGTGAGCTCCACAATGACAATACCAATCTCCTGCTAACACTTCTGTTTTGTTAAACTCGTACGTTGATGGGTCTGGACCACCGTATTTCGGGTACCCACATCGTTGACAAGCTTCCCTCTTTTTGAAGTTCACATGTTCACACACACCACACATCCAGTCTCCTCCTGACCAGTTCATGTTCATCGTCGTCCTACAATCACGAAACGAATATTCAGAATCAATAACAGCATGTTCGAGTCTCTGCCCATTTGTTAGGTAAGTGACGGGAATACTCGAGTATCGTCGAGACAATTAAATTCATCGTAACACATCAATCTAAGCTTAGAACGTATAGAAACGAAAAAGAAAGTGAGAGAAGAAATGACCTTGGAAGTCTGAATTTGGAAACTTCGGTGTTTGGTGGGTTAATGGATGCCCTTTGGAGGGTTTATATAGTTGCCAAAAAGTCTTACAAGTGGACCTTTTTTTTAAGTCAAAAACATGAAATTGTTGACTTTTTTTTTAGTCTTTTTCTTGTCTTTTATTTTTAATATTTTTATTAGTGCAAAATATGCATGAGAAACTAGCATGCTTCTTCATTATACCTAATTATTAATTAATATTTTCATTACATGACCCATGCCTTATTATTTGATTATCCCTCTATTTTAATTAAATTACTAATTAATCCTTATAATTCGAGAAATTTAGAATTTTATCCCGGTAATTTGATAAAATTTCGTAACGAGCTTTCAAATGTTATAGCTGTTTAGTCCTAAACTTTTAATTATTTACCTAATAAGTAGCTAAATTAAAAAAATATATGTCTAATCAGTCCCTGAACTTTCAATTCTTTTGTCTAATAGACTTCTAAATTTTCAATTTCGGATTTAGGTCCTGGATCTATTCAATATTTTTTAAAAACCCACCGACCCACAAAACACAAAATTAAAAATTTTATGTCAATAAATCGGTTAATTTTTAAAAAAATTTAATACTTGAAGTAAATTTTACGAACCCCATGTCCACCGCTAGTAGATATTATCCACTTTAGCCCGTTACTTATCACCGTCAACCTCACAGTTTTAAACAGGTCTACTAGAGAGAGGTTTCCACGTCCATATAAGGAATGTTTTGTTCTCCTCTCCAACCGATCAGATGTTTTAAATAGACATAAAATTCAAAGTTTAGGGACTTATTAAGCATTTTTAAGATCTATAAACCTTTTAGATACAGATTTAAAAGTTTAATGAAATGAACTTGTGGATCAGTCCAGTTTGTTCATGAACATAAACATAGTTCAACGATTAAAACGTCTCTATTTCATTCAAAAAGTCGTAAATTTGAATCTCGACCTCCTGAAACCGAGAACGAAATATCGTATTCAAACTCGTTAATCACATCATTACATAAAATGATTAAGAGAATATTCCATCTCTCGCTAAAGTTTTTATCATTTTGGAATGGTTTCACGTGCTGCATGGCCAAACATGGCGTTGCATGCTAGAGGATCAGATGTCTTTATTGGTCATATTCTTTGCTCACCACTTGAGAAAGCAAAAAAGAAGAAGAAGATGAAGCCTTCCCTAAATAAATACTTTCATTTTATGTGTGGATCAAAGTTTAAACTTTATAGTATAAATATATTAATGTATATAGCCCAAAGTTTTTATTGGAATAAGTTCCTTTAAATAATGTAGCATATCCATTTGCCCAAGTCAAAATCCTTCAATCTAGTTTGAGGATTCTTTCTTCTTTTCGCATGCAATAATTCACGAGAATATTTATCCATGTCGACATTTTAAAAAGGTTCGATATTAGATATTGTATAATAATTAATTCTAAATATGATATAGGGTTTCCCGAACAACGGTAGTTATACTCGAGTCAACTGGGTCAGAGGTTAGAGGTTCAAATCTCTGAATTTTACGTGATAAACTAAAAAAATGGTCAGTTGGGTTGTAGCTCAATGATCGACGAACAAAAGGTGGAATGTGATACCGAGTAAATGAGGGATAAAGAATGAACTGATATCATATTTGAATGATAGTGGTTTTCAGAATATAAAATTATGGTTGAGAAAGACATAAAATAATTGATAGTTATCATAGGAGTCCCAAAGTCTAACGTGTTTGAACCTGAATTAGTTAGTTTTTGTAACAGTTGAAGCTCACTGCTAGCAGATATTGTCCATTTTGACCCATTACGTATCGTTGTCAGTCTCATGGTTCTAAAACATGTCTTCTAGGGAGAAGTTTCCACACGCTTATAAGGAATGTTTTGGTCCCCTTTCCAACTAACGTGGGATCTCACAATTCACCCTCTTTTGGGGCAAGTGTCCTCGTAAGCACATCACCTAGTGACGGGCTCTAATACTAGATATTGTTTGCTTTGACCTGTTATGTATTGTCATCAGTCTCATGGTTTTAAAACTCATCTTCTAGGGAGAGGTTTCCGCACCTTTTTAAGGAATGCTTTGTTTCTCTCTCCAATCAATCTAGGATCTCACAATCCACCCTCCTTGGAGACCAGCGTCCTCGCCGACATAACGCCTAGTGACTAGATCTAGTACCATTTGTAACAGCTCAAGCTAACCGCTAACAGATATTGTCCGCTTTGACCTGTTACGTATTGTTGTCAACCTCACGGTCTTATAACGCGTCTTCTAAAAAGAGGTTTCCACACGCTTATAAGAAATGTATTGTTCCTCTCTCCAACCAATATAGGATCTCATAGCTTTCATAGACAATTTAAACTCTGAAATCGTTCAAGTCAAGTAGGTAACGTGGTCACGTCGCAGAAGATACAAGAGAATATCGGAGCCATCGGGAATGAAACGAAGAAAAAGACGTAGTAGGGTTAATATTTAATTCATGGTTACAAAAATTCCAAATTTGAAGCTGACATGTCAAGCAAACAAGACATTTCAAAATCACTTTTTATTTGCTGACATGGCGACACAACAATACTTGAGATAAGGAAGAATCCTAATATATAAATAAAATAAATAAATAAATAAATAAACAAATTACTTCTTTTTGGCTATGATTTGTTAATATTGTATATGTGGAAAACCTTACAAAATCATCCAATTCCCTTCTCCTTTCCCTTTTCCTTTTTATTCTTTCATTTGTGATGCTTCTTAAAAGGGGAACAAATGTCCTCAATAATACTTACCAGAATTTTGAGAAGCGTTTTCGTAACATCTCGTGTGTTCGGTTGCCACGAGATTGGACCAATATGATGTTGTAGGGTCGTCCTGTAATCGATAAAAATTAATTAGCGTAAAGAGTTCATCCAAGATCAAAATATCTCGACCTTTCAATTCTAAACCCTAAACTCGAGAGACACACACCATTTTGTAACAGCTCAAGCTTACCGTTAGCAAATATTATCCTCTTTGAATTTTTTCTTTCGAATTTCCCTTCAAAGTTTTTAAAACGCGTCTACTAGAGAACAATTTGCACATCTTTATAAAGGATGCTTTGTTCACTCTCCAACTGATGTGAGATCTCACAATCCACACCATTTGGGACGAGCGTCCACATTTACACTCGTGTAACAACTCAGGCCCACCACTAGCACATATTGTTCTCTTCGGGCTTTCCCTTTCTGGCTTCCTCGAGAGGAACGACCCAAACCCACCACTAACAGATATTGTCCTCTTCGAGCTTTCCGTTTCTGGCTTCCCGTCAAGGCTTTAAAACACTGTCTCAAGGGAAAGTTTTCCACGCCCTTTAACAATTTTACTTTATTATTACTACTACTGTTAGATGCACTATTGTACTGTATAGATGGCAGAAAAGGGAAGCATCTTAGCTTAAAACATTATCTTGAAGAAATGCACCTTTTTTTACCTCTCTTAGCAGAGACCCATACCACCTGCAACAAACCACTAAAGAATCTCTTAACCCATTTGAAAACAAGATTGTCCTTATGGCTTAAGCCATTTGAAATGATTGTTCGTGTCGTTTTACGAGCAAATCGATTGAACTCCGACTGATTTCACGAGACAAATATCCAAAAACCCATTTTTATTTATTCAAATAATAAATGGATTTACACAGATTTTCATAGATCAAAGTTCAAGTAGATTAAAAGAACACGAGTAAGCAAATGTTGAGATGGCTAGCTTAATCAATGCCTGCCCTCAAATCTTTCAAGGTTAAGAACTCAATTGAGTTCATATGCTTCAGTGTTAGGATTTTGCTTGAAGGAGTTTCTTCTTGCTGTTGCAAGAACAGTCTTGTCAGCCACTATGAAGTATGCTGCTCCAGCCACTGCCAGTGAAAAATCAACCCTTTTTCCTTTAGTAAAGAAAGCCAAATCAAAGTGAAACCATATCATGACATGGAGCTAAGAGAGAAACAAAAAAAGTTGAACCTGTGGAGATTATGAGCGCTTGAGCTGTGTGATTCAGATGAGCTTTTGCCCATGGCAGCATCCTCACACTAGCCAACTGCAAAACAATATCAATTCTAGTAATCGGTTGGAGAGGAGAACGAAACATTCTTTATAAAGGTGTGAAAACCTCTACTAGTAGATGCATTTTAAAAACTTTGAGGGAAAGCCCAAAAGGAAAAGCTTAAAGAGACAATATCTACCGGCGGTGGGCTTGGACGGTAAAACTAAGCTCTTTCATTGTTCGGTTCGAAAAATATGGCGATAGCAGCTAGCTCTATATCGCCAGCAAGCAGAGTCTCAACCCCGATAGGAGTAGATCGAAAATGGGCAAAATTTTAGATTCTAATCTGGTGTGGTAAACTTTAAAACTTTAGGTCCTATTTGGATTATAGGCAAATATTACTCCTGCAATTGAACCCTCTAAACATATCAGTTGAGGGTTAAGTTAAGCCATTCACTTAAGGTAATCTACATCAGTTCTTCAGCTAATTTGGTCAAATTTTTCGCAGGAAAGTAAGAACATGATGAGTGATATTAATTATTCTCTAAAAGGGAAAGATAAGGATATGTGTTTGCTTCATGAAGAAGGGAACTCACTGTGGGAATGGCAGTAGCAACACTTGCAATGGCAGCTGCTTTTGCCCCTGCTATCACACCCTCTGTTCATCAAAAAAGAAGAAACGTAACTCATTAGCTTCAGATTTTGATGATAAAAGCTATATTTATTAGAAAGACAACATCAGAAATCACTAATTTTCATGGCATCAAATCTGAAGTGGATCATGAGCCACCAGCCAATCAATCAAAACAATAGAATCAGTAAAAAAAAACACAGCATATATCCAATCAACATGCTCATGGATCACATCCCGTCTCCTTTAGCTTTTACTTAAATCATTAACTAAAAAAACAATCCATTCTTGAAGCTAAAAGAACAAAACCCTCTTTGAGGAATTTCGTCGAACAGTTGAAAGGCATTAACAAAAAAAACCAAGTCTAAACCCTATAACTA